TGAACCCTGGGTCATGAGCACAGTTTTGGTGGCAGTACAGCAGTTTTAACCACTTCTCCTCTTTAGAGAATCTTTGCTTTCACTTTTAAAGTTAGGAGAGCTCATGGTTTTGAAGATTGCTTGAACATGCACAGAAAATATCTGCTCTGGTCTCGGAGGTGAGACATGGGATTCTATATGCTGTGAACTCTTCCTTTTACTGTGGATACCTGTGCTACACCAAAAAGCTGCCATTCCAGAGGACCCTTTAGTGCATCATTTTATGGCTATTTTGATGTGCACACATACGAGTCATCCTTTACAGCAATCCATGTGCTCCTACAGTTTGTAGCGCACCCCCATCTCATTACTAGCAAAACCAAAAGAGTCGTGTCATTGTTGATTGCAAAGTAAGTTTGCAACATAATGAGAACAAGAGCTACGTTACAGCGTGGCCGCCATCACCAAATGCTGGAAGGGACAGGCTTAAGCTTAATAACAGTGGCAACGAAGGTGTGTGCCTGCATGTGTGATACTGCCAATCAATTTTGTTTCTGTGAAAAGGATTAAATCTGCAGTCCTACCGCGCCTGCATGTGCGATACTGCCAATCAATTTTGTTTCGTTCCTGTGAAAAGGATTAAATCTGCAGTCCTACAAACATGAACAGGGAGTTAAGGCCTATCCAGCGTAGAGAGACAGCATACTGTAGTCCTACACATGAATCCTCAGAGGTGAGCCTTCTGGACTTCAGTGGAACTCCTGACCAGTTGTGGAATATATAGCAGGGGTAAGTGACTTACAGCCTTTGAGATGCTGTTGGACTGCAACTCTTATGAGCCCGAGACAGCCTAAGGCAGAGACTGAGCAATGGTAGGCATTGCAGCCCCATGTCGGGAGGGCCATAAACCACCAATTCCTGGCATGTGGAATGATGTTGGAGTCAACCCATGCAGCATTCCATGTCCTCTTTTCCGGATGAGTCTACTGAACACTGAAGCAGGGCCTCTAAGTCTCTCTTAGGAAAAGTCCCTCTTGAGCCTTTTCACCTGGTCTAAAATGCCCACCCAGTGAGGGGCCGGCGGGAGGGGGGGACAGAGCAGGGGCTGAGATCAAAGCCTCTGCATCTGTCAGTCTCAGAAATGCAAGTCACCTGCCCCAAGAAAACAAATCCTGCTTAACACCTTGGTGTCAAAGGCTCTAATTAGGTTGAAGAGGCTGAAAAGAAAAGGCCAAAGACAACATATTTATCGCTTGTTCAGATTTGTGGTCTTCTCAGTTTTCTTGGACAAAGGCGGGAGTCTATTACTCAAGAATTACCTCTCCATAAATAAAAGACTTCTCAGTTAATTGTAAGCTACGTATATACAATTGCTGAAATGGGTGCCAATTAATTAAAAACAACAACTCCACCATTGTAAATACCAAAATTGCAGTGGAAATCAATTGCGTAAGGCCAGTTTCTACGATAACCATGAACATTTTGAACACACAATTTTTGGTGCTCTTTTAAAAAAACGTTTACATCTATTTGTTATGTGCCATCAAGTCTCCTCCAACGTACGACTCTATGAATCAGCGACCTCCAAAATGTTCTGTCCTTCACAGCCCTGCTCAGCTCTTGTAAATTCAAGCCTGTGGCTTCCTTTAGGGAATCACTGCATCTCATATTTGGTCTTTTTTTCCCCTCCTGCTGCCTTCCACCATTTCCAGCACTATTTTCCCCAGGAATGTCTTCTCATGACGTGCCCAAAGGAGGACAGAATAAGACCTTCATTCAAGTCTTAAAGTCAGCTTTACAAATTGAATTAAGATTAGATTCATATTTCTCCTACAGTATAAAGACCTGTTGTTAGTTGTTTAGTCGTGTCTGACTCTTCGTGACCCCATGGACCAGAGCACGCCAGGCCCTCCTGTCTTCTACTGCCTTCTGGAATTGGGTCAGATTCATGTTAGTTGCTTCGATGACACTGTCCAACCATCTCATCCTCTGTCGTCCCCTTCTCCTCTTGCCCTCACACTTTCCTAACATCAGGGTCTTTTCCAGGGAGTCTTCTCTTCTCATGAGATGGCCAAAGTGTTGGAGACTCCGTTTCAGGATCTGACCTATCCAGTCAGAATCTTGCTGAAATATCCATGTGTGCAGCATTAACTGTGTAAGAAGTTTGTATCACTTGGCAGTTGTCTGTCACGCAGTTGGTCCCACAACAGACATCCTGCCAAACAGAGCAAGCCACTTGCGTAATTAATGTCTGCAAACGTAAGTCTAACATCAACTACTTGTGTACATTTCCCCCCCTCCCATTCCTTCCCTTCTAGATCTCTGTGCCCCCTAATCAATTCCAGAGGGCATCCCAGCCCCCTATAGCCAGTTTTGGGGAGCCTAAGAGAGGGTGCTGTATAGTCCAGTGGTTTAAAAGTTGGGAGCTCAATTCCCCACGGTGCCTCCTGGGAGAAGAGGCAGCCTGTGTAGCCTTGGGCAGGCTACGCAGTCCCAGAACTGCCCCCAGAAGAAGGGAATGCTCAACCACTTCTGAGTGCTCTGTACCTAGAAAAACCTGAAAAAGAATTGCCATAAGTCAGAATTGACTTGATGGCACAAGATGATTATTATAAAAAGGGGGTTTAGGGGGCGAAACTACTATTCCCTGATTCTGGTGGCAGATGCAGTTCTGCCCGTGGAATGATCCCTTTGGATTGTGGCCACCCTCTTTGCAACTTGGAGATAATCTAATATTTTACCAGTTTCTCTGAGTCAGGCCTGGCACTGAGATAGGACCACAGTTTCAAGGTGACTGCCTAGCTGGCTGGATAGTTCAGTGATCCAAGTCCTGTTACTTAGCATAGTAAGTGACACAAGAATAAGTCCACTGAATTAATAGGGAATTGGTGAGTCCACTCTTCCATATGTTCCATTGATTCAAATGAGCCTACTCTTAACTGTTTTACTTCAGCATATTAAGTTGCAATTAGAGTACATCCATTTGAATCAATGGAACTCATGAAGCAGTTGATTGGCCAGACCCCATTAATATAAGGAACCTGTTCTAATGCACTTTACTACGCTAAGCAACAGGATTTTGGCCAATGGGTAAATTATTTGGCTGTAGAGCCAGAAGACTGGAGTTCCGTGGTCCACTCTGCCTCCCAGGAGAAATTCAGTCTCTGTAGCCTTGGGCAAGCTTCACAGTCCCAAGGTGTGCCCAGAAGAAGGGAATGAAGGTCCCCAGCAATGTGGAACTTGGGGGCCTCCAAATGTCAGACATCATCTCCCATGATCCTTCAACTACTGGCTATGTTGGCTAACGATGTGTTGCTTTGCAGTTAATTTCCCTTTTTTTAAAAAAAAACTAAGGCATAGCTAAAATACAGCAGAACAGTAACATAACAATATGTCAGTTATCTCCTTTTTCAATGGAATTGTAATTCTGTTACAGAACTCTGGCTTTAGAAATAACCGAATGTTGCAAACATGGCAGGCTTCTAAGCCTCCAGAGCACTTCACAAGGCACAAATATAACATTGGAGGAACTCGGAAGCAAAAACTCCAGAATATGTGGCACAATGTGATGGTTTTCAACCTTTGAGTGGTCAAATATAGAGTAGGTGCTGCCCAATGCTCATCAATGGTATAACAGTAATTCTGTTGTACTTTTATAGCTACAGGAGGTATGTGGCCTCACTGTTTTGTACCATAAGGCAGTGGCTTCTAGCGTTCTTTTGGTTAAAAAAGTAACTAAACATTAGCTATTTGGGGTTTGAATGAGGAGGAAAAGACACATAACATTTGGTTAGGTTTGGGAATATTTCAGAAACTGGTTCTATAAATTTCTTCTCTTACTTCTATAGAAGCCCCTCACGAAGAGGAGGTGCTGCTGTAGGGCAGGCTTGAAGAGAAGCCGATAGCAACTAACTTCCGTTTGGATGAACATTTTCATTTTAATGAAAACCACAGAAAAAGAACTGCACCCAGACCATATTTTACATGCTTAAAAAAAAAAAGAGGGAATATTTGCTCTGAAAGCGCAGTCCCACAATAATCTCATGAAAGACCATTTTCTGTCTGGCTCTTCATTATAACAGGGGACTTACCCTGGAACCTATAGCTGAGAACTTTAGCATCTGGACCATCGAGGTAAAACGTGGAAGCCTCACGGTGAGGTTGAGATTAATGAGAGCTGTTACGGGAAGTCAAGGTAAGAATCTTTTCATGTCTAAGGAGGTGTGAACCTCTGCCATTTTACATCAACAGATGAAAGGAAGCTGCCGTTAGCAATATTACTAGATCTGTTATAGGCTAAGTGCTACTGGTGAAACAGTAAAACACAGTGGCAGATTTAGCACTTTGGCCTTCAGGAAACAAATAATTTGTGTTTTTAACACAGTTTAAATGTACCCTGCACCCATGTGTTAGTTTTTAACTAGACTCCTTTGTGTCAAACAACAAAGGCCCCGATCCAAAAACAAAAATAAGGTTTGACATTTAAAAAGAAAAGAAGTAGCTAATAGATATATATCTATATTAGTATCACTGTTGAGCTGTTCTGTCATACAGCTTTTGGGGGAAACCAAGATTTTTATATTAATTTCTATGGCATGTCAGTCTGTTGTAACCGAAACATCGCTAAGACAGCTAATATTCTTTTCAGCTTTGTACTCTATACATTTCAGCTATCTAAGCACATTTCTTCTAAAAAGACCTTTATTTGGGACCAGATCTGTGGATTTCATAACTGCTCACATTTTCTGGAATACAATGTCCATGTACAACATCTTTAATTTGCTAAGGAAAACAAAAGGCAATCTAACATATGTTCAGTTGAGTCAGCTTTCAGCATGTTAAGATCAACATTTACACAGCTTCAGGCTCAGAGAAGCCTCTATTATAGGTCTGTAAACACTAGTTATCATTTCAATATCTACTGACACAGTGGAACAATCTAACATATGTTCAGTTGAGTCAGCTTTCAGCATGTTAAGATCAACATTTACACAGCTTCAGGCTCCGAGAAGCCTCTCATATTATAGGTCTGTAAACACTAGTTATCATTTCAATATCTACTGACACAGTGGAATGTCTTCTGCAATTCAAGGCTTTCTCCTAACTCCATGACATATCTGTGACCCTAAAATATAGCTCTTATCTGAAATGGGAAACTGCATATAAGTTTACAGTCAAATCTATACATTTCATGGACCCGAGAACATGCAGTTCCAGTTGAAATCCCATTCCCAGTTACCTGAGCAGAAACATGTCCTACCACACAGTGAGGGATTAACAGTGAAATGCTAAACACACTATACTGAAATGAAATGCCACAAAAAATTTATAGGATTGGGTTCCAGGCGAATGTACTTCAGGCTCCAGCAAAAACAAACAAAATACTTCCAGGAGAAGAGCTGGATTTCTACTATTGCAAAATGGCTGGTATTCTGCTTCAACCTGGTCCAAGGAAAGCACCAAATTATAGCCAAACTCTTTATGTTATAGTCTGTGCAGAAGAAAATCAGTACATACAAAAATATCAGCTATTCATGCCACTGCTGCTGACAGACACAGAAGCAAGCTGTTGCATGTTCAGCCACTGGAGGAACAGGGGGGGAAAAGTTACTGTATTTGATTCCCTGACTTCATGCAATTTGTGGTGTCGTTATGATGGCACTGTGTGCTTCTCACTCAACAGGATCTTTTTGGGGGGACACCACCGCCAGGAGTTGCGGGTCACAGCCTGTTCAAAATACATATTTCAGAGGGACACCCACCATGCAGCCATCAAGGTTTCTTCAATAGCCTCTTTAAAATTATTATTTCAAAGTTTCTGCAAATGTTAAAAACTGCCTGTTTAGACTATCTCATCATGGTCTTTCCAATTAAGGTAGTATGGAGTTCGTTTCATTTTTATCAAAACCAGGGCTCAACAATTTAGGTGGGTTTCATGAGGTTTACAACGGACCTCCTTGCTTTAAAAAAAAAGATTTGGGGGTAGAGTCAAAGAGCTTGGAGCACTTTGGCCCCAAAAGATTAGAAGCACCTTTTGCTATGAAACGTTGACACTGTGGATTTTCCACAAGCGGATGGAAGCTTGGAGGACATAAAGGGGCCTTGGCTGATCCATGGAGGCCACGTGATGCCCACCTAATTCTCACTGTTGTTCGAACATTTAGCTGCAAGACCGACTCCAGAGATGGAGGAAGGACAGATCATTTTTAAAATGCCATAATGGCCAAGTTCCCGTTATGTACTGTAGTAAATCACGCCACAGTAGACCCACTGAATCAATGAGGATTTGAGGAGTCAGCTCCTCTGTACATTCCACTGATTCCAACAGGAACAAATAAAATGCCTATTTGAATCAACGGAACTTACCGAGGAGCTGACTCCTCAAATACCCATTGATTCAATGGTCCTACTGTGGTGTAATTCACTATGCTAAGTAACAGGATCGGGGCCAAGGGAAGGCAAAGGAGTTCTTAACGGTTCTGCAATTTAAGCTTGAGCCTTTCAGACAGAGGTAGGGGACTGTGGACTTGTGTGTCAGAATCACTTCCACTATCTTCTAGATGGGAACAGGATCCACTGCTTTTGCACTCTGTGGGTCTTGGAGGATCGGGAACATGCCTACCAGGATCCTGGATCACTGGTAAATCTTTGCTAAGTAGCTTACAGGCAGGTTCTTCACGTCTTTGCTGAGTTTCAAGTACTCGTTCATTGTCACACTTTTTCTCACTGCGCTTGTCCTCTGGCTGAATGAAGCTAGACTTCCTCAGCCACTTTGGGATTTTGTGAGCCTTCCTCTTGTCTCTCATCACCTCGCCATCACTGTCTTCACTAGAATAACGAGAATAATTCTGGCACACACTCTTCTTCAGTGAACTTTTCAGAACCATTGGCATGACCCGGACTGGGTATTGAGAGTTTGGGGGCACTTTTTTATCATTCCTTAACATGGGGACCCTTAGATATATTTCTGGTAGCCCCATCCTTTCAGGTTGAGCGCTGTCCTTCCGCTGAGCTGAAGGAGATGAACATGCTTCTCCAAGGCTATTCATTTGTTCTGTGCTTTGAAAAGCACTTAGTGGAGACACATGTGCAGCTTTGGAAGAAGCCTCTAGAACTGCCTTTTCTTTCAAGGATAAATCATTTTGTCCTTTAGGGAGGTCAATGCATGAAGCAGCGTCATCCACACTGCTGGAGAAATGTGGATCCTCTGAAGATGGTCCTATGGTTTCTGCTGTTTTCCAGCACAGCACAGAGTATGGCCTTGTAGAATCGCTGTGCATACCAGACTCAGATTCTAAATAACAAGCCATGTTAACAAGCTTTGGAGAAACACTGAAGGACGTTGCTTCCCAGTCGATGCTGCTCAGCTGCAGATCAGCAATAGGAGAATCAGCGGAAGAGGCTATAAGCTGTTTAGTAACTTTTGCCTGCGAGTGCCGAGAACCAACAAGATTGCAGTTCTCCTCTGGGTTTTGTGAGGTAACTATAGGAGAGGTCAAGGGCTGGTTTTGACTTTTGCTGACTTCAGTAGAACAATATGCAGAGAGATGCTGAGATTCGGAATCCTTTGCTGGAAATTTGAGGCAACTGGACTTGGTGCTTTTGCCGGGATAAGTTTCGCATGTCAAGTCCAAATTCAGCCGAGAAAGGAGATCAGCAATTTCACTATCCTTTGCTGAGCTTTCTTTCTCTTTCAGTCTACTCTTCTTACCTGAAAGAACAACAAAGTTAAACAGGCACATCTTGTTAAAAGGCTTTATTCTTGAAGCAATTGTCGAGCAATGGTGAAGTGGAACCAGGGCTCAGGTAGTTTGAGCACTGGGATTGTCTCATAAACAGGGACAGTGGCATCATCTGCAACCATTATCAAGTTTCTATGTTCCCTCTAAATGTGGCCGTAGTCCTCACACTAGCTGGCAATGGTGGCTGAGGGCTTTGGGCAGCACTAATATCTTGTAAGGCTTCACTGTTGTAAGGCACGGATCTTGGGTGTCTCTTGGTTTTGAAAGGATAACTAAACTTTACACCAGCTTTTACAAAACATCAGCTTTACAAAACATCTCCTGGTGGAAGTGGTAGCTGGCAGAATTGGTCTGTTGATAAGAATTTAAAAAGTTGCCTGGATATTTTTTTTTAAAACTTATGGTTCTGGATACTGGGAATATCATAATGAGTATCTGCACTTGAAAATTTAGCACTGTGATGTAGCTAAGTAAGAAATGCAGAAGCTGATGAGAGAACCTGGTTTCATTATAAGGTCCTGCTAAACAAGAGGCATAAATTACTGCTGAATAACCAGGAATGTCATGGAGCAAAAGAAGCCTCTTGCTACTTCATGTAAAAGCAAGTAAAATTGGGAGCTTCAAGCTTACCCTTTTTTCTTTCCTTGCAAACTTGCAATTTCTCCAGCTGATACATGGCAACCACTTCCGGATACGCAGCCTGAAATAACGATGACTCTTCTGTTGTTCTTATAAAGGGCTCCGCGGGTTGGTCGTCCGCTGTAACATAGTGCTCTGGAACAATAAACCAAAGGAAGGGGAATATACCGTCAGGCATAAATGGATCGAGCCAGGGCTACCACCAAAGTGACCCTGTCCTAGCCTGTACATCCTGGGAGAAGATGCGTATCTTTCACACCAAGCCCTGGTCCTTACGGAGGCAGAAGTGAGTCATCCTTGACACTCCAGATGTTTCAACCCTCAGAAGTCCTTCCCAACCTGGCTAATGACAAGAGATTATGGGGGTGGGAGTGCTCTTAGTTCAAACCATGTGGATTATCAAACATCTCAGACACCTGTAACAAGATTAGTATCAAAAGAGAAGGCATGTGAAGTAGCTTCACACATGCAAACTACTTCTACAGTTTGGCTGATACAATCTAGAGCGATACGTGGTCCTTGCGTGTAGCCCTCGCTGCTGTCTGTCCCAGGTCTCTCTCAATGAGGTCCACAAGAACCTTAGAAAAGTCTTGCGGGATTAGATCAAGATGCTATCTGGTTGCACCTTTTATACACAGTGGCCAACTCTGTTGCTTATGGGAAGGCCACAAGCAAGTCAGGAGAGCGACAGCATCCCTCCCTTGTCTCCGCAACCTTCTGTGTAACCATTGTTAAATCCTACCCAGCCCCACAACTGAAAGTCAAGTATCAAACGGCATGAGTTAGTCATGGGGAAATGAGCACAGAGACCACATGCCACTGGCTTAGAAGACAAAGAGAGACACTGACTGTCTCCCATTAAGGATATGAACAAAAGGAGCTGCTTTATATCAACTCCAAGACTATTGCTTAAGCTCTCCTTTGGCAATGCCAGAGACTGAACCTGTGGGACCGTCAGCAAGCATGGGTTCTACTCCAGGCTATGGCCCCTCTATAACCACAGAGGATCAAAACCAGGATCTGTTGCAGAATTCTACTGATAGGAAAGCACCCTCATACGGGGCAAAGGCATGAAAATACATCTGTGAAGATTCTCAGTCAGCCAAGCAAGGTCATCTGGAAGCTGAGTCATGGCAACGGGACTTATTTCGTATTAGATTGATACGTTTCGCTGTTCATCCAAATAGCTTCTTCAGTTTGTCCCGGGTATCTGTCAGCGAGGTCCACAAGACCTTTAGAAAAGTCTTGCAGGCATGAAAATCTAGTGTTTATGTCCTAACAGGCATCAAAAACCACACTGTGTTTTATTGTTAATATCCAGGTACTATTCAAGTTTCCTATGCTCTGTTTGTTCCTATGCCTTTGGCCATCTTGGGGAGGTGGACGCTGGCAGAACCTGTTCCTGTCTGGAAGGCCAAGAGTTCCCCACCACCACCAGAGTTTGCTACAGCATTACAGACCAAGTAGCACCCACCTGGCTTTCGCCACTCAACTTCAAAACAAGGAATTCCATTTTTAATCCGGTGCTTGACGATTCTGCCAAACAAAAATAAGAAAATCATGACAAATTGAAACAGACAATCCAAAAAGAAGGTTCGAGGTGTGCAGAAGATTTTTGTGGAATGTAGAACTTAAGACGAAGGAAGCCCTTGGCCTCCCTCCTGTGCTACAGAAGAGCTGTTTCCTACAACACTTTTCCACACGGGGGGGTGGTGGTTGTTGATGAGAATAACAAAACCAGACAAATGATACTGCAGGGGGTCTTATCCACCTAAATCAAATTTTGCCCTTTTCAAACACAACCTGCAGCCACGGGGGAGCATGTGGCACAGAAACTATTCCTAGAAGCTGGACACGTTCGTGTATGACTGTGCAAGAGAGACCCTAACAAGAGCGGTACTGTACAGCAGTGGTTCCCACCCCTGGTAGCCCAGGTGTCCTTGGACTGCAGTTCCCAGAAGCTCTCGCCACCGGCTGTGCTGGCTGGGGTTTCCAGGAACTGCAACCCATGAACACCTGAGTGACCCAAGTTTGGGAAACACTGCTATACGGTGTTTATACACAGTGTTCATGACTGTCATTCCTAGCCAGCAGCCAAGGACAATGGGAGTCGCAGTGCTACTACACTGGGAGACACATATTCCCCACATCAATGGTTTGGTCCTTTTCAAGTAGACTTCTCTAGATTATACTTAAGCAAGATATACTTAAGGCGCTCTTGGACGATGCTGCTGTAAGTCGATCGGCAATCTACCAAGTTAGGACGTGGACTTTTGTGAGCCTCTGGGGATATACTCAGGTTCTGAATACATTGGACAGCTAACAAATCAGTGCTTGTAATGGGAGTGTAGTCCAGTCAAAGGAGACAGGGTTCAAACCATTGAAGTACTGGGGGTTTCTGATTACCTAGGTGACATTATCCACCATTCGCCAACGCCATTTTTCCCTGTTCCCTCTGAGCATACCTGTCATCCTCATTGTAATTTGGTGTGGGAGGATTTATCTTCTCACCAGCAATGCATCGTTGGGAGCATTCCCTTTTGTACTTTGTATTTTTGGGTTAGCTTGGTCTCCATGTGGGCAATGAAGGCCCTCAGATTTTAAAAAGATACATTCACTGGTACAGCTGAATTGCTTTGTTGATATACATCAGCATGGTTGTGAGCGTTTTAGGACCGATTCTTATGTCAGTTTTCAAGATGTGGAAGCTGTCAAGAACAACTACACTTCAAAATGCAGCACTTCCTTGCTGGTCGAGTGGCTATCGCAACAAGGCTGGTGGTTCTAAGCCTGCCAAGAAGGACGGGCCACTTCCCTGAGGTACTTCCATCTCCACCTTCTGGCTTGTGGGATCACTGCATGGAGCTACCCTTCAAACAGCATTCTGTAACTGTCTTTCAAAATGGAGGCTGGCATTTAAGAACTCTGTAAATCCATACCTATGTTAGTGCAGTAAACTTGTTGGCTGTTGCATCCTATGTCATACTACAAACTAATGTTGATATACCTCACTGATTCTGAAAGCAGTTTTGCTTGGTGTCGTATTTTCCACAGATGCAGGAACTTTCTTGAACTACAGCTACTAGAAAATCCCAGGCAGGATGGCCGTGCTTGAGTTTTCTAGGAGTTATAGTCCAGGAGTGGAAATGTCCCCCTCTCTCTCACACACACACTGCAAAAACACACACATCTAAAGCAACTCCAAGAAGTGACAAAACTAATTGCAAAGGTGTTTTTTTTTGTTTTGTTTTTTTGGAACCTGGTCTCTCATTCTGTCTACAGGCAGCATTAGTAGACCCTATGCAAGAGATGACATAAGAGGACACTGGTTTTAAGAACCAAGCAGCCTCGATCAACTGATGCAGAAAATACATTTGGGACATCATTCATTTTTGTACAACACTGTCAGAAATACCAGCTTTGGATAAAGGGCAATGTATAGCTGAAGGGCGGTGAAGGTGGAGAGAAAAGGTTATTTCACACTTCTATAAAATTATCTGGAATGCTTCCTTTCTCCAGCGACAGCTGTAAAGAGAAACAGAGAGGCTGAATTTTTAAAATGTCAGAAATCAGATTACCGCAGTGCTTGCAGCTGCTGTGGGTCTGTATGGCCAGATTTCCTTCTGTTCATGTCATAATATGTCAGAAGGACACACAGTTTCTCACATGCATAATGCTTGGTCCACTCCATTTTCTCAAAAGCAAAATTCTGTTTAAAAACAGGATGGAAATATATTAGGAATGTGATTTCCAGACATTCAGTGTTTTTCTTTAAGTATTGTTCAGTATTATTCTGATACTGTCACGCTTCTGAGGAAAAGCTTGAAACAGAGCGTATATAAAGTCTGTCATGTGAAATCAGGAGTGACATTGTTTTGAGGGTCAGTGCATTTCAGTTGAAAGTCTCATGAACTATATATTCAAAATGGTGCAGCAGGGGAACCCAAAACAGTTCCCAAAGGACAGAAACAGAAGCTGAGGAACCAACAGTTTTTGAGACGATTGCTGAAAATGGAAAGTCCAATAAGGCTATACTGGTATACACAAATCTAAACAGGATCATGGTGTGAGATTAACATCCCTTCAAAAATGTTTAAATCAAAAGATATTTACCTTAAGAGCTTTAGACCTGTTGTTATTGTTTGCAACTTATTTATCCCATTCTTCCTCTTAAGGAGGTCAGGTTGGCTTATACTCCCCCCCACTTTAACTCCATTTTATCTTCACAGCCATCCTGTTGGATGGATGGATGGACAGAAAGGAAGCTCACAGCCAAGGAACATTTCAACCAGTGTTCACCTCTCCACATCTTAAGCTAGCTTTTATAGTGTGCAGGCTCTTTCTGAAAAATATTGTCAGCGCCTCATATTTTATGTTCAAAACCCAACACTCCTTTCCTCATAATATTCATCATTCTGCAAGCTAAATACTTACCCGCTGCAACGCAATACTTACTGAGTTCAGTGGCCCTTAATTCCAGGTAAGTGTGTTCAAGATGGTAGCCAAAGGCTACACTCCAGATCCCATTCAGTTGGTAATAAGCCCACAGGCAAAAGTAGTATTTGGGTGTTTATATGGGGCTTAGGAAACCATGTTGCTTATGTCCAGTTTAGAGACACCAACCCTAACTATAACACAGACTCGAGCAGTAGTGGTCACTGTGTGTTACAGAACAGAGTGCCTTCTTGAAATATAATAGCAAAGTGACATCTTTTATTCCATTTTCTATACAACTGTGGCAGTTCCCTTTTTAATGTTTACTATCCCACTTGAGAAGACTTTTTGTTCCTCCACAAACAATCAAGGGTACATGTATCTGGCAAAGCTGAAAAATGTGAAGGTATAAATAAATGGCTATTAAGCTGTCCCTTCAGGCTAGATATATGAATAATATTTTAAAAGTATCATAAATAAGGAAAATCATTCCTAAATGGATTTCTTCGCAGTTTCAAATTGGAGCTAAACATATCTTTGGAGAGGAAGTTTGCATCAGGAAACAGAATCGGGGGCATCATTAAAAGACAACTTGCAGCTGATTATTTAGTTTGTTAATGTATGTTCTGCGACCACCATGGACAACAACCTTTGGACAGCACATAAATGTTTGAAGTAATATTTGCAACCTAAGGGAAAAAATGTAGTTTTTAAAGCTGAGTTAGGAGGAGGGAAATCAAGTGTTAAGTATGCCCCATCTTTGGCTCAAGAATGATAGTTGATGAGTAAAATATGCAGATTAAACCATATTACTGGTAGAAAATAGTAATGGCTTGAAATGACTGGCAATGAAGGTTTAAAAAAGGCAACATCAGGATTACAGTTAACAATTAAGACCAAAATCATGACTAAAGGAGAACTATGCAACTTTAATGTTGATAATGAAAAAAAATTCAAAAATTATTAAAGGCTTTCTGTATCTAAGTTCAATCATCCAACAGTAGACTACAAAACCAGCTGCAGGGTCCTCCGTGAAGTGAGGCTTTGGGGCAGGCCAAGTGCCCGGTCAATGGGGGAAAAAAATACAAAACAGAACTTAGAAATAGACTGAGATTCAAAAGGGCAGCCATGAAGCAACTACGAAAGATTCTGGAGGATGTGTGCATTGGAGGTCAATCCTCAACAATGGAGGAGTCTTTCATAATATAGGAGTGTTCACTATGGAAGCTGGACAATAAGGAAAGCTGACAGGAAAAACAAAACAAAAACAATTCAATTGATGTTGGAAGAAAGCTTTAAAAATTCCATGAACTGCTACAAAGACAAATAAGTGGGTTCTAAAGCACACTGTCAGGTTAGAGTCCATACTGGTTGCCTACTGTGCTTTGGACAAATCATGAGGTGACAGGGTTCACTGGAAAAGACAGTAATGACAGGAAAAGTGGAAGGCAGTAGGAAAAAAAGAAAACCCAACATGAAATGGATTGACACTATAATGGAAGCCATGGCTGTTAATTTGTACAAACAAATACTGTTTTAATGATGTAAGCTGTCTTGGGTCCTTTTGGGGACAAAAGTGGGATAGAAATGTTTCAAATAAATAAATAAATAACAAAGTAGGGCTCTTAAATCCTAGGACCTTGTGGAGGTTGTTAATCCACAAGGTTACCATAAACTGGAAATGACTTTGTCATTTAATGACAACATCTTTTGTTTCCAAAATGAGAGCAAAAAGTGTTTAGAAATGCTACTTTTTTGGACAATTCCCAGAATCGCTCCAGATAATATGGCCACTAGGCATGCTGGTAGGAGAATTCTGTGTGTTGTCGTCCCAAACAAACAAACAAACAAAAAACAAAACAACACTTTTCCAACTCCTGTCACTAACTGCACAAGGATATGATCAAGCGAGCCCAATGGCAGTGGTTAAACTGCAGTACTGCAGTCAAGCCTCTGTTCACAATTTGAGTTCTGGTTCAGGTAGCCAGCTCAAGTTTGACTCAACCTTCCATTCTTCCAAGATCAGCAAAATGAATACCTAGTTTTTTTTTTTTGGGGGGGGGAAGGGAAGGTTGTTTGCATAATTATGTTGTAAACCAGCCAGAGACTGGTCTAGCACAGTGAGGTTGTACATAAGATGAAACAACAAATGATTAAGCAAAACTGAAGCAGTCCTTCAACTCTCATTGATGTGAGCCACATGCTTCTGTTGTATTGATAACACTGGGATTTCAGAGTGCTCTGTGCTGAGCAAGAATTATTTTTAACTCTTTAAAACTACGATAGCTTTTCCTTGGTCTTGAAACCACAATTCATGCACATCTTTTAAAAGGCATATTGTCTCCTAATATATATTTCCGCATCAGTTATCATTTTGTGGAAATATATACAAGTCAGACCCTGATTCTTTCTCTGGGTGAAATGGCAAATATAGCACGCCAATTTCTAGCTACACGCAGCATTTCTGCTAGCAAACTCGAGTGTTCTCTTCTGTACCTGAAAGGAGAGGAGGTTTGGCCTTTGAGATGTTTTTAACCTCACTGGTTTGTCTTTGCTGGTGAGATATTCTTGAATGACCTTGACAGAAAAAAAGAGAGAGGGAAAAAAACCAGAAGATTTTTCAATAGGAACAAGCCTGTGAAGGCAATCCATTACCACACAGCAATTGAATGTGACTTAGTTAAATTACCTCAGGAAATGGGAAGCCTTCACACATTTGAGCTTTCCTGCAAATGAAATGCATACATGAGAGGCAGGTTACGCAAACAAATAACTTTTCCTCAAGGAATTCAGAGCCAATAGAAGCACACTGACTTTCTCATACTTTCCTCAACTGCGCTGGCTTCTTGGCGCTGTTCGAAGGTGTGCCAATCACAAGGGCAGAGGTACTCGGCACTGTGTGGTTCACAATACCCTACGCTGCCACAGAGATGGCACCCAAAGCACTTGTGGTCTGTGTAGGATCCTGCAAGAAAAGAGAGATAAGAAGATGGATTGAAGAGGCATCTCAACAACAACAACAATAATGATAGTAATAATAATAGTGATACTGGTGGTGGTGGTAGTAGTAGTAGTGGTGGTGGTGGTGATGATGATGATGATGATGATGATGATGATGATGATGATAATAATAATAATANNNNAATAATAATAATAATAATAATAATAATAATAATAATAATAATAATAATAATAATAATAATAATAATAATAATAATAATAATAATTTATTGTATTTATACCCCGTCTATCTGGTCAAACGACCACTCTAGGCGGCTGCCAATGTATAAATCATTTATAAAATATAATAAATTTTTACAATCAATAAAGAAGTTATTCAGGATGAAAGAAAGAAAAAAAAGAAAAAAGAAAAGAAAAGATATACTGTAAAAAGAAAAGGAAATCAGGCATTAGCTGGAGGGAAGGCCTGCCCAAACATCCAAGTTTTATAATCATCATAATAAAGGAATTTACTTCCCAAGAGATTAGTAACAGGCATGAAGACTTGGAGATGCTAGAGGCAAAGAAACATCTGTAAAAGCTTGGGCTTAATCCAGTTGTGAGTCCCAACTGGAGGATCCCACAGAATGCTTAATTGCTGGATGAGTCAACGTTCATGTGAACCCTACGATGCCTGCTGTATTAGGGACTAGCAATCAGTTTTAAGACTTAGATTTGCTTCACGCTATTCATGGAAATGCTCAGATCCTACTTTAAACCTTTATTAAAGGATAAATAATTTCAGTGGGGAGACAGAAAAGAGAGAGCGACTCTTTATAGAATGGGTATTTGAATAACAGCCTTGTTAAACCAGGTTTGGGTTGATTCTGAAATAGCTAACTGTTGGTTTAGTGGTACTGTACATGCCGCTCTCTCTCACTCACCCATAATGATGTCCTTTCTCCTGGTTTGACACAAATGATCATTTGCCCTTTCGCTCGGCCCAACAAACAACTGTATAAACTATATGTATTCCTGCAAACCTAGGTCAGAATACGCAAGGGAAAAAGGAGAACTCAGCTCCAGGGTTCTCATCCTTGTAATACCAAATCACAGTTGACCATTACATAATCAACTGGAACGCAGCGACACTGAACCATGTGTCCTATTATGGATGGAATCACAAAACTACAGTGTACACGAAAACATATTACCCACCAGTCTGTAGCTAAATTATCGCATCTAAAAACAGAAAGACAAGGATACAGTGGTGCCTCGCTTAACGATTGCCTCGTTTAGCGATGAATTCGCATAACGATGTTTTTTTTAGAAAATAATATGCACCATATAACGATGTTTCCTATGGGCGATTTTCGCTTAGCGAAGTTTGGGACCATGCTTCGCATAACGAATGCGATTTTAGGTCCCCTGCTTCACTTAACGATGTTTCTTTTTTCAATTAAAAAAGTGTCTTAGAAGGGTCGAAAACGGTTCTAAATGCTTGGATTCGTTAGAGCACCCCCTAAGTCATGTGCAAACCTGATTTGGCTTTGATCTGACTTTTCGTTAATTTATGGTGAATTTTTTTTTCGGCCCATAGGAACCAATGGACCTGTCAAAATCTGACAGCTGCATGCTTTCCTATGGGGGAGAAAACAATTCACCATAAATTAACGAAAGTTCAGATCAAAGCCAAATCAGGTTTGCACACGACTTAGGGGGTCCTCTAACGAATCCAAGCATTTAGAACAGTTGCTGAGTCTTCATTAATTTTTTGTGAATTTTTTCTTCCCCCATAGGAAATAATGGAGCTGTCAGATTTTGACAGCTGTCAAAAGTTGGGGGAAAAAAATTCACCATTAATTAACGAAAAGTCAGATCAAAGCCAAATTAACTTTTGCATCCGTTTTAGAGGGTGTAGAAGCTAATCCAAGCATTTAAAACCATTTTGACCCTTTTATGACACACTTAATTTTGCAAAAATTGACTTTGCAAAGCCATTGAAATGTATTGAGTCAGCTTCAATACATTCCAATGGAGGAAACATTGTATCGTTTAACGATGTTTCCTATGGGTTTTTTCGCTTAAGGACGGCAATCCGTGCCTATTGGAACGGATTAAGCGGTTTCCAATGCATTCCTATGGAAAATGGTGTTTCGCATAACGATGTTTCACATAACGTTTTTTTTTAACCAATTAAAATCGTTATGCGAGGCACCACTGTACTTAGATTCACAATGTTACTTTGGGAAGGTATTTATACTTTTCTTTACAGAACATAAACTTCTAATGAATCATAATTAGCTGCTACTCAAGCCAACCTTCTGTCATGTTATTTTTTGTACTGCTATACTCAGGGTAAGGTAAGACGACAGTACTTTGGACTTCCTTTGCGTTTTTTAAGCTAGCAGTCCTACCTGGATGACGGCACATGGTGCAATGAACCACCTTTTTAACTGCAAGGGGTGGGATATCGCAAGATTGGAAGTGCCCTTTCCAGTGCTCAAACCTAAAAGAAACAGTATACCAAATTATAAGTGTAGCATAAAGCATTGACCAGTCCACAGGCTTGTAAGTACAAATCCTAATAAAGGAATCCATCAAGCAGCAGAAGAAGTAGATGGCAAACCGAGCCATTCCATCCACTCTGCTAAGAAACCAGCTCCAGTTGCTTCTCTTTCTCCTGAACAATTCCAGCTGGTCATTATAAGAAATACAATTTAATTTTTAAAACTGGTGCTATGATCTGCTTTATTCCTCTTTCCTCCCCACCCCTTCTTTTCATCTTGGGTTACGCCTTTTTAACTCTGTGGGCATTTATTTTATTTTATTTGGCTAGAAAACAAATAACCAAACAGGGTTATAAGGATTCTAATTCTGTAGAGCACAGAATGCGATTTGACAAACAAATCACATTTGTTAAATTCTGAGGGTTGGTCTGAATTAGTGAAGTGCTTTGGTTTTGGAATTCATTCAGAAAATGAAACAAACAAACACAAGAAAACCAAAGAGATTGTCATTTTCTGAACAAACTCAGGATGCATGGAGGAAGCCTGAAGTAGCCCTTCATTAGAACTGTGGTTCTCCAAAATGCCAAATATTGCCTTGCCACTTTAGAAGCTTTTTAGAAAGCTTAAAATTTGGAGAGAGAAAAATGTTTATAGCCAATGTATCTCACATATTGAAAGCAATCCTTTAACAGAATGAAGAAGCCCAAAGCAAAAGGAGATGGCGCAATTGCCAATGAAAAGTCCAAGCTCTCCTGGTAACCCCATCATAGTGCCCTCAGGAGGCTCAGATCAACCCCATTTACATGAACAATGACCATTTTGCTTCTTGGCAGGTGAAGGAAGGGTCTTTTTCTGTCAGCAATTGCTGTACACATTGCATTCCCCCCATAGGGTGGGGTGTGCATTGGAGAACTTTTTATTCTTTTCTTTTAGGCAGTTGTAAATCTCATTTTGCATTGTATTTTAGAACCCAGTCAATCAAATGCCCATGTGTGTGCATATGCTATCAACATCTCAAAGGCTCTTGTGTGGGATTTCAGTGGTAGGTCACATTACCATTAGGAACAGAACTTAAGCTTTGCCCCCCCCCAACTCAGTTTTGTACTTTACTTTTTAAAATGCTTCCTGCTGGGTTTTATCCCTGCAGTGGTCTGCCTTTTAATTTCTTCACTGTGTTCAAGATGGGGAAGCCACATATACAGTGGCTTGACAACGATAATCCATTCCGCTGAAATAGCTGTTAAGCAAAATTGTTGTCAAGCGAATTTAAAAAACCCATTGAAATGCATTGAAAACCGTTCAATGTGTTTCAATGGGCTAAATACCTGCTCGTTTTGCAAAGATCCTCCATAGGGCAGCCATTTTCAGGTGCCTGTAAAGTGAGGAATCCATCCTAAAGCATAACGGGCAGCCATTTTAGACCCACCGATCAGCTGTTTTAAAATCATCGTCTAGCGAAAAATTGGTTCCCGAAGCAGGGAACCGATCATCGTGAAGTGAATTTTTCCTATTAGAACATCGTTTTGCGATCGCAAAAGCCATTGCAAAAACCTCATTGTCAAGCAGGTTCGTCGTTTAACAAGGTAATTGTTAAGCGAGACACTACTGTAACACAAAAGACCGCAATCAGCTATTCTATCCACTAGGGCAGCAAAGCAGGTATTCTTCTCTTCAACAAACATTTGGGGTGAGTAAACTGGAGTAAATTACATGGCTACAGGTGGGGGAGTGAATGAAGGAAGAAGCAAATAAACTGGTGGGAACTTTGCCTGCGAATGGGAGATCAAGCAGTAGTTGATGGCACTGAGTTTCACCTCCAAGTCCCAAGTCGGAACCCATTATTTCCTCCATTTCCATGTTTTTTCACTATTTAGACTAATACAAATATGCACAAGCCCTTTGAAATAGTTTGAATTAAAAGGCCTGCAATTTATAAAATAAATAATTCAGACTAGATTCAAAGTGGATGGTATTTACGCACTCCTAGTTTGAATTATGCAAGCTAGCTACTTATTCCAAAAGAGATGCAAAGAGAAAAGATAGCTAACATCTAAGAAGCAAAATAAATTATACCTTTGCAGTAGATCCTGTCCTTTCAAAGTCCTGATCAACTTTAAAGCTTGTTCTTTTCCAATTCCGGGAACTCCCTTTTACAAAGAAGAAAATATCACATGTATTGATGCAGTTTACAGAGAGGTAGCAGTGCTGCAACAGAACTGCTTATGCAGTGCTTGTGTTTGGATACAGCTAGAAGCCTGAGGACTGTAGAAATCCTGGTGTGCAGAGTATAGTGGCACACATTATGTGAGCTGCTGGATAGCTCAGTGCTTTAGGCATCTGGCTGTGGGGCCAGAGGTTGGGAGTTTGATTCCCCACTTTGCCTCCTTGACAGGGGCTGGACTTGATGATCCATTGGGGCCCTTCCAGCTTCACAGTTCAAATGTTGTTGTGTTGTTGTGTTTGCTCTTGGAGCAGGAGCAGCTTAAGTAATAGTGGACAATGTCCACTCCAGCACACTATCCCAGATCTCCCACCAGAACAGTTACTCTAGCTGGACCATCTGGAAGGCTATTGGCTTTGAAGTGAAGATCAAAGAATAATCGAGTAAAATGGTTACTTGAATATAGGACATATTTTCTGTGACTCTGGAGAAATTCAAGCCATATAGCACTTGTGCCCATGCAATTTATGCCCTACTATGTATAAAAAAAGAAGATCTAGCTATTGAAGTAACCTGCTTCTGGTAAAAAATAATTACTTATATTAACATTTTAGTTTGTTTTTAATTTTACCTGTATGTCATATAGGTTCATAATTTAAAATTGTGCAACACTCTGATGTGAATAAAGAAAGAAGAAAGCACACTGTTCATGCTCAATAAACAAAGGTTTCAAAGATTCTCTGGCTTAGTGTTGTGTCTCAACATGGACACTGCCTTTCATAAAAATGGCTAAACTGTAAATGCTTGGGAACTTATTTTAAAAGGACATGTATCTGCAGCTGCCAATTTCACCGCCTTGTGCTACAGTCGCCATAGAAAGAAGCCTCACATCCTAAAAGAAAGGGGTCAAATGCACATTGCTCAAGAAACTGTCGTCGTCCCTGCCTTTTCCAAGGATGGTCGTTTTGACTCTAACAAATATGCGTAAAGACAGCCAGCTCTGAGAATTTCAGCTATAGAAATATAAGTCAGAGGGACAATGTCATGGATGTGTTCTTTTCAGCTGACTGGAATTGTGGGATTAAGGCTGGTACCCGGTTGTTCAAACTGCCCTGAAAGTAAGACAGTAGACCTGCTATGCCTACAGGAAGGATACACTTCATCCAGAAGACACAATTTGAACTCAAAGAACAACAACTTTTTTCACCTTGCAGCCATGGACCACCAAGGAAACCTTGGCTAGCGACAGGACGAGTCCTCCCCTACCACCAAGGCTGGTACCCGGTTGTTCAAACTGCCCTGAAAGTAAGACAGTAGACCTGCTATGCCTACAGGAAGAATACACTTCATCCAGAAGACACAATCTGAACTCAAAAAACAACTTTTTTCACCTTGCAGCCATGGACCACCAAGGAAACCTTGGCTAGCGACAGGACGAGTCCTCCCCTACCACCCCCACCACAGTTTTATCAAGCCGAGAAATGCTGACGAGATATGTGGTGGCATTTCCTGACATCCCTGTAAGAAGGTTTTTGTTCTCTTCCTTTTTTCACTTCCCATGGTTCAAATCCTGAGCAGGATTGGACAACAGTCTCCCCCCCCCTCCGGTGACACACTCCCTGAGATTTCCTGGACTTCAGCAAGACCTCCCATGAGATCCCCCCCCTTGGGGGGAAATAATCAGATTACAGTATAGGGACATTTCAAGGACAGGAGAATGGTTCTTCTCCTACACCTCCCCATCTGGGCTTTTGGTCAGTGTGAAAAGCAAGAAAACTCACAACCCTTCTCTAGGTAGCTGTGGTCTGCACAAAGGAAGAAGCAACCACTGTACTGGGGAAAGACACAGATTTGATTTTCAGGGGTTGCTCACAAATCCCGCCCCCCATGAAAAACCTTTTAATTTAATTCCGCCCATAGGTCTCGCATGTTCATTAGAGTTAAGGTATTCTAGGCTACGGCTCACAGAATATTTTCCCGCTGGCTGGAGCTACTGGGAGGTATGGGTCAACGCATCTGGAGGGCCACAAACTCCCCACCTCTGACCGATTTAGAATCCAATGTGTCTTGTATACCAGCGAAGCATCCAGCTACCACATCAAACTGAGCAGCTGAGTGCCAAAGTGCATATGTTTCTCTTTGCTTTGTTTCCTTGCCTTTGGAAGATAATCACAGCCAAGGAGAACTGCTAAGCCGATCAGCGATTCTCTGCTGCAGCCTAGTTTCTCCTCAACAGCAGTCATCAAGTAGCAGTCAACGTGTGGGTCCTGTAAAGAACACAGAGAGATGTCAACGCCTTCTGCCAGTTTCAGCATCCAGAACAGAGAAAGATCCCCTTTCTCCCAAGCATTGGGCCTTACAGACTAGCAATTAGGAATGAATAGGGAATAGATTTCCTAGGCTAATATCAGAATTAAAAAACAAATTCCTCTGATTACACTGGTAACTGTCATGCGGTCAGGGGAATTAGCAAACAACAGCTTGGTGGAAAGTAGGCAGAACCTGCAGTGCATCAGGAGAGGCATCAGGAGAGGTGGGCAGGAGTCACCGGTTTGGTGGTTCGTGCCGATTTGTTTACCAGCCAAACAAGTGTGCAGTGGGCATCCACACAGAGACAGCATCCGCAGGATGTGGGGCAGGGAAGCCAGGCTGCTGCTTTTGAACGAGTGCCCGCTGGAGGTGGTGGGGCTTTGAAGCACCAAAGACCTGTGGGGCTGGTAAACAAACTGGTACGAACCGCCAAACCGGTGGTGCATGCCCATCTCTAGTCAGCACCTAAAGTCTTGTTAAGTCTTGTTCACCTAATGAAAGAATGGGGACTACGTGCCCCTCCCTGGATCATGCTGAACTGTAACATCAGGTCTCGTTCACCGCTCACATTTCTACCAGTGGCTGTTGGGAGGTTTGGCCCCACACCTGGAAGGTCCCTTCAGTGACACCAAACGGCAGTGTGAACGGCTCTGTTGCTTCACAGTCCCAGCCGTGCAAGAAAGGTTTGTGATCCAATCCAACCCATGTGCACTCAAAGGTTAAATTCCACAGAGTCCAATGGATGTCACTCCCAGTTACGTGGGTGTAGGGCTATGTAGTCTCACTGGGTCCACAACACATCAGGGTGGGAATGTGAAGAACAGAAGTACTAGCACGGTCTAGGCCAGAAGCAGGTGAGATCAACGTCCCTGGCACCCTCACTTAGTTTTTAGAAATGGCCAATAAGCTCCTTTATGATTTCTAAGGAAGTGTGGGCGACAATTATGTCATGTTTTGAGAAGCCCTCAGCCCCATCCTTAAAACTCCTTTTTGGCCTCTAGAGGGGAGAAAGATTTAAACTTCCCTCCATTTACATTTAAGAGAAATGAACATGGGGGGTTGGAGGAGCAGCTATCATCTTCCAGCTCCGGACATCGATGCACGTGGCCCGCTGGGCACATTGCCCACCCTGATCGAGGCTCTCAAGTGTCCCTTCGTTTTAGACTCATATCAACCTCCTTTCCATGAATGCCTTGTAAATCACCTTTAGGTTCATGGTGAAGTTCCTGTAAATGGTCCGCGCGCCATAAAGGAAAGCATCGCCATCGTTAGTGAGGCAACCATCCACGACACCGCTGGCATTGAGGTAAGCGCACATCGCTTCTGCCTCACCGGCTGCTTGGACCCAAGGCACTCCCAGGTACTCCAGCATTTCAAGGCACTAGGGAAGCGCACATCCCAAAGGAAGAAACAAGTCAGTTCTAAAGGGTGGCTCCATTTCGGAAGGTGAGGTGGGCCGAGGAGGAATTATAATACTTTTGCCAAATGGTCACCCAAATAAATCACAGGCATTCTTAAACTAGCAGTTTGAAAGCGTGTAAATGCGAGTAGATAAATAGGTACCACCACGGTGGGAAGGTAACAGCGTTCCGTGTCTAGTCGCGCTGCCCATGTGACTGCGGAAACTGTCTTCGGACAAACGCTGGCTCTACGGCTTGGAAATGGGGATGAACACTGCCCCCTAGAGTTGGACACGACTGGACTAAATGTCAAGGGGAACACAGGGTTGTTGTGCGTTTTTCGGGCTCTTTGGCCGTGTTCTGAAAGTTGTCCTTCCTAATGTTTCGCCAGTCCCTGTGGCCGGCATGCCCTAAAACAAACTGGACATGAAATTCTATTTCAAAATACCGAAATACTGGACAACACCAACAATCATTAGGTCAGACTGCACAGGGAAGCCATTGAAATCCACAAGCACCAGCAGAACTTCAACAAAAAAGAGGAAAGTGTGAAGCTCAACAAAACTTGGCTTCCAGCTCTCAAAAATACAGCGTGCAAAAGGTCAACGAACTCTACCCAGCCGCAAGGACTGGGGATCACTACACACAAAAGACCAGCTAATGACGCCCATCAACCACAGTGACAGATAATCTCTCCTTCTTATCACAACAATACATCCACAATAAGACACACTAATCACCCATCTACAGAAAAAGACAAAAGCCCATCTCACAGCCATAAATACTCCACTCCCAAGCCAACTACACCAGAGTACAGGTTGCTGTCCTCTGAAGATGCCGGCCACAGAGACTGTCAGGCAGAACAACCTTCAGAACACGGCCAAAGAGCCTGAAAAACCCACAACAACCATTAGATCCCGGCAGTGAAAGCCTTCATGAATACGTCAAGGGGAACCTTTACCTTTACCTATTCTTCAACTAGTAATTTGGCCATGTTGTGCTTTGCAAGCACTTAAAAACTTTTGGGCACTTGCGGTGGAAGGATTCTTAATTTCCAAACATTTTGAAGGGAAGGTGCCTCACAGAATGACTGTGCAAGAAGTCCATAGATCATATCTCTCAAAGCAACCCCAAAATGTAGACATGGTATCATCTGCGAATGAGGCAATTTTCAATCATGGGCTTAGAAGCTTACACTGGGAAATCCATGAATGAGTAACGCTGCTCTTCTACCTCCTTACATATATTCATCGCTGTTGCCTGTCATGAAACTGAACCAGCCTTACATTTTTGACCGTGGGTGGACAATTTATAGCTAGCTAGATCTGGGTGGACTGTAATGCCCATCAGCCCCAGCCAGCCTTGCTAGAGGAGAGGGATGATGGGAGCTGCAGTCCTACAGCATATATAGAGGACCACAAGTTACCCCTTTTTTTTGTCTGAACAATTTGAAGTAATTCCCACTGGATTACAGACCAAGAGGTGGGAGGCTCTGGACAGCAACAGAAAGCAAAATGCTTATATAGTTATTATTTTTCAATAACCAATCAAAAATACCTGAAGTAAAGATTTTGGCTGTTTTTCAGCTGTCTGCCATTTAACAGAAGGAGCAACTGTATCTACAGGAAACCAAAGACCAGCACAGTGCTTGTGCTTGAAAAAACAAAAACTCACTAACACACCTGGTGCAGATCATATCAAGCATCTGCTGATCAGAAAGCCCCACCAGGATAGTAACTTGGGATACCGTCACTTATACAAGTGCTGCCATTAGCAAGTAGTGGGTGGCTTTTCTTCACTACCTGCCCAATGACGACACTGGCTCAAGCAGAACAACCCCATCATGCTAGACCAGCAGAGGCATATACTTAAGATTATCCTGCACAGCATACTAAGGGTATGCTTAGCTCCACCTAACCTCCTGTTCTAAAAAGGAAGATGCCCTGGTGCCAGGTAGAAAGGTTCCTTTCTGAACAGGAAGCGAGGCAGAGCTAGGCCTACGCTAGGCCACAAAGCCATCCAAGCTTTGGTCTTTTTTCCTAGGTGAGCCACATCTAACAGTGTGTCTATCAGCTGGAACTCCCAGAATGGAAAACTCTGGGATTTGTAGTCCCCCCCCCAAAAAAAATCACATGCCAAATTCCTATATATCATGCCTACGGAGTCCATAAACTGTCAAAACGAGAAATAATATATTAATCAGTCCTTTAAAATTGCATAGTGTGTAAAGCCAACCTTGGCCATGTACGGTATCTGATAAATATAACCAAAGAAGGAAACATGCCTCTTTCAGTAAAGACTTGAAACGAGACCTCCTTGTTCTGGCAGTCCTAGGCTTCTTGGATGGCCCAAAGCGAACTTCTGTCCTTTTCTCCATTGTGCTTGCTTTCAGTTTGGGGGGCTCTCCCTCCATGACAAACACAAGATGGATACCCATTAGCGTTAAAGAAGAGACGCGGAAGTAAAGGTTCCTGTAATAACAAGAAAGGACAGCCATATTTGTAGAACGCAGCAGCTGTCAGATCCAGTTGGTCAAGTCCGTGTTGGCCAAACAATTGCCATGGGCACTTCATTTTCGCTCAGCTCTATCATCATTGCCGTTGCACCAATCACGGAAACAGCTCTGGCCAGCTCTTCCCCACCTCCTTGTGCAGCCAACCACTCATTGGCCAAGCAAGAAGACTGCTGTCCCACCTCCATGCCACAGTGGTTGGCTGTGCGAGGAGGCGGGGAAAAGGCTGCTTCCACGATTGGTGCAACAACAACAACAACAACCACCGAGCCAAGTGCTGGTCAGAGCCCAGTAAGTGGCCTGGCTGGTGCTGTGGGGTTGGATTGGGAAACTAATACAAAATGCCCGTGTTAACCAAACACCTTTAACAAGAAAGCGATGGAGAGTATGTTTTAGGAGGAGGTCTACTCATGATAACATGCCCTTCCTGAATCCTTATCAGATACAAGTAGGGAAGTCATGGTTTATGCACACAATTAAAAACAGCTTCCTCAACAACAGTATGAACTCATCTTCCATGCCAGAAATCAAACCACAAACACAGACTGATTAATTTATTCCAGTGTATAACATATTTGTTGTTTTCTAGCGAGCTATTGAATTAAGCAAGTTTCCAGTCTTTGACTCCCTTATACCTACTTCTGAAGTATTTTTAGAAATTAAAAACCATTGAATGAACCCTAAATTTTCAAGAAGGATATTTGTAGACTGGAAGGACATGAACCTGGCTCTCATCAAAATCTTCAGAATGAAATTGGTTGGTTCTTTGCTTTTCCCCCCAGAGACTCTAAAAATTATTCAGAGGGGTATCAGCAAGAAAAAGAAAGGGCTTGGAAATAATGTATAGCTTGAGGGGGATGGAACAAGGGCTTACTGTCAACTCAACTCTTGGTAACAACTCATAACTATTAACAGTTACAAACTAGTTACACAACAAATAGGAACTCTTTTCTGGTGGGTGATGAGCAACATCTAGTCAAGGGGTTCCAAACCTTGGGTTCCCAGATGTTCTTGGACTGCAACTCCCAGAAGCCCTCACCACTAGCTGTGCCAGCAAGGGCTTATGGGAGTTGCAGTCCAAGAATGTCTGGAGATCCAAGGTTGGGAAGCACTGGTCTAGTCATTACTGGTGGGAAGCTAAAATGTTTGTTGAAGTATTTTAAAGATTTGTTCACACTTTTGTCTTCTTCACGCTTATTTAGATGGAAAAAACTGCAAAAAAATTTAACCAGTGACACAATGGGTTACCTAACAATGAACACATTGCTTTTAAATTGTTTTAAATGGTTTTTATTCAGCAGTATTAATATGCAACCATTTGACTTACTGTTTAACATTGTAACTTTTTATTTTCAATTCTTGTAAATACAGTACTATATGATTTGTTCTTGTATCTTAATTTTGTACATCTAACATGGCTGATTGACGGTTGCCATAACAATGATGTTTAAAGCAGTATTTTCAACTGCTTTAATGTGATTGCTTAAATATTTTGTCTTCAGTTCACTTATTGGGATAAGAGTGGATTCTAAAATAAATAAAAGGAATGAATGAACACAATGCTAAAAGCAACAGATTACTTTTTGGGGGAGCGTGAACAATTTACAAGAAAAGTTGTTTTTTTTAAAAAAAGCAACCACTTGAAGACAAATGGGTGATTTAAATTCCAACTATACCTTCCTACCACAATCTATAGAGGTGTAGCTAGACCTTAATTTGCAAGGGGGGGGACACCATAAAGTAACGGAGGATCAATCAGATGGCAATAAAGGATTGCATCTGATCACACTAGAAAGGTCCCTTTGCTGAGAGTGATCTTCCCTAAAACAACCCTTCTGTCCATGTGGGAATCAGTCCAGCCCAGTCCAGCCCAACCCAACCTCCGCTCCCAAGAATAGTCCTGCCACTGCCCCCCAAAAAAGGCACAGCTTAGGCATGGATCAGGGTTGGGCTGGGTTGCTACTGCCCTTACATCATGCGATCACCAGGAAACAGCCACAAGCAACATTCCCTCTCATTTTCAGCCCCACTGGGCAGGGCTCCACCCCCCTCACGCATGGCTCTGCCCCCTCCGCTTGGGGTTTCGATGTAACCAGAACCAAAGGGGCTGCAAACGATCACCGTGGCTACGTGAGGGACATGCCTTGCATGGAGTTGTGCACACTCGCGCACCTTAGAGGGAACCCCGGCCGCAAGATTTTCAAAATACAACCTCTTTCTCTACCTAATCCACCCTGACTTCTCACAGATAATCTATATATATTAATTACAATCATACATCAAACGATTCCATCATACTTACCTCAGGTGAGGTTTTGTGACTACTCCCTTCATTTTTTTGACCGTTTGTGCTTCACACACCCAGAGACTTAAATCAACAGCGAGTGTCTTTCCGCGAAGACTGCTGAGGGGGACATGTTGTTTCACAGGCTCCAGGATCTGCCACAGATTCGTCACGCCCATGGTCTCCAATCTTCATGCACAAAAACACACACACAACAGAAACAGGACTTTTAGGTGAGGATCCTTCCACAGAGGTGACTCTGTACGCACGTCCGGACCCACTGAACCCACCCCCCCGCTTCCAAATCATCTTTAAAGGTACCCACCCACCCTGTAGAGTATACTCTAGTGTTCCACTCTGGATTTGACCAAGACAGGAATGACTAGCAGGGTGGACTTTCTCCAGATAGCAACCGAGCAGGCAAATTATCTGAAGCGGGAAGGAAGGTAAACCTGAAAACCAGCTCCTGTTACACCTGCCTAGGCCGGGCTGGGTCCACAAGAACCTGCAGGCCATGCGCCTGATCCTTCTAGGAGAGTGCAGCCTGATCAGATGCCCATCTTAATACCTCCACCCATCACCATATTCCGAAATCAACAGTTTTCTTTACATAGTGCTTCTGTCCTTTCTGGATAGCAGCAAAAGCCTGTATACTTTTGTCCACATGTTGAATCCAAGGATTTGATTGAAATCAAATTAATATAAACCATGACTTAAAACACAATTAAAATTGTAATCGATTTTTTTAACTATTTAAATTTAAAAACTGATTAAACAAATTTAAATCATGATTTACATCTGTTTTTTCATCCACCAATTCCTAATTTCACAGCACAATCCTATACATCTTAAAGTCTGGTTATACAGCAGAGGGGGTGATGATAAGTAGTGAGCTTTCCCAGAAAAAAATGAGCTAGGAAGCTGTAACTGCCACACTATTCTACATGTCCCCTCAGGAAGTCAATGCACTTGTGGCATCTGTCCTGCAGCTTCTTAAGTCCCTGCAAATAAAATTCTTCCGACTGCTTGGTGTAACCACTCATTTGCAGCATTAGTTGCCTCCAGAACACTCCCAAATCCTT